TATGAGAATAAAGTTGTAATATTATCAGAATAAAGTCATAACATTATGAGAATAGTCATAATGAAAATAAAGTTGTATTACTATGAGAATAAAGTGGTACAATTATAAAGTCATCATATTACCAGAATAAAGTTGTAATATTATGAAAAGGCAGTCTTACCACTGCGTTWAAATGAGGAATGTTGAGCATCTAGTGAAGTTATACTTTAGCACCGGTGTTACAAATAAGGAAATACTTTTCACATATCAGCATTAAATTATTAACAGTAGTAGGACTTGTCAATAATTGTGCAAATATCTGTGTCTATTTCAAAGAAAGAAACAGCTTCTTTTGTGGACGAGGTGCTGTCTGGTAGTGCTGAGGAAGATCAGCTCTGTTAAACTGACTGATTACTTCCTGTGTCTCGTTTCTGTTCAGTCTGACGATGGGCCAGCTGTACGACAAGGAAAAGGATGAGGACGGCTTTCTGTACGTGGCCTACAGCGGAGAAAACACCTTCGGATTCAAGGCCTTTTATTCAGCACAGGGTTAAAACTTCAGAGTCTTCCCCCGTCACACACAGATCCGTCCGGGCCCGACACAAACTGGTGCACAGCTCTTTGAACACCGGCCTTTCCATCGTCCTAATGCTTCTACACCTTTCAGTTTTTGATACTGAAAAAAAAAACCCTATGTTTATTGTTATAAAATAACAGAAACAAAACCCTTTTTTTTCTGTCAGGCTCAGATGATTATTAGGGACGAAAGTTGCTTGACCTTAACGGTAGTCTTTTTGTCATCGCTGCTGATCCAATATGGAGAGAAAATCTTAAAACACTGCCGTCAAATCTGATTAACAGTCACAACACGGTACGGGCATGTCAGGCACGATCTCCAACATCTTTAGACAGGAAAGAGGGAAAAATACACACCAGTTCAGGCAGTATGCATCCTGTGTTCTCTTTGGCATTTATCTTTATGTTCAGCCAAAGTTTGTTTTTGTTTGTTTAAAGCATTAAATCTTCAGTAATAAGAAGTGTTATCATGTGGGGAAAGGAGAACTGAAGGTTTCCGTACGCTGTTGAACGCAGCTCAGGGTTAAGAACCGGACTGACTTCATGTACTTTACGTGTTTTTGGAAATTTACATGTTAGCCAGAATCAGACTCGCAGAAAAAAACACAAGCGTTAAAACTTTTACTTGAATTGTGTTGAACTGTGATATTTACGTGCTGTGATCACAAACAAATGACGACCATTTTCCTAAACGTACGAGCTAACGGTTACTTTTTATGGTACGTCATGAATCCTCCATGTTGTGCAATCATCAAATATTTAATTCAGTCATTAAAAGCTTTAAAATTGTTTRTATTTCTGCTTCAAATTATGCAAAGAGTGGAAGAGGTTAATCATTAATCACWTTTTTTGTTGCACTATTAGTAATCAGTGTTTTAACTTCACAGTATTTAATGATACCAACGTCTAAAATCAAATATTTTATTTCAGTTTTTAGAGTTCATTTGGATGTTTTGTTTAGGCATGCTGTAGTCTGTCCTAACGGTGTGTTTATTACATGTAAACATTTTCAGTTGTGTTTGATTTGTATAAAACAAGCTGTATGAATAAAGTTTTATCATGTCAAACCGATGCGCAGTTTTGTTTATGTTTTTGCATTTTTATTTATTTGGGAGTAAAAGCTTGAGATGTTATTTGTTCTGATGATATGGAAACTTAAACATCCTTTATGCTCAGATCATRAAGCAATAAAACTAAATTTATTTTAAAAGAGTCACTTTGCTCTAAGTGCACAAAAACACTCCTTCATGATCAGTCTCTTCCACTGGAGTCAGTGTTTTTGAATAAAATGTTGCCCAAAAAC